ATATCTGCAGCTATTCTGCAGCTGCTGCCTCAGAGAAGGGTGTATGGTAATGGAGACCAACTTCTCCGCCTCCTCACCAGAGCACATCACACTATCCACCCCTAGGTCCCATAACCACAATGGCCAAGCAGTCAGGGTCTCCCCATGTTTCTGCCTGAATTGTCTCCCCAAGTCAACCAGTTCAACCTGGGAATACGGGACATAGGTGGAGAACCAGGTCACCTGTGGATCGCCCTCCAGTTGTCCATCTGGTCCCATACACTGCTCATGTTTCAATTTCTCATGCACAACAGGTCATGCCTGGAGATGAACGGTTCCCCCCAACTCACCACTGGGTTGGTCGTCCTCCCTGATGTTAGGGGCAGGAGTGGCCAGTTGCTGCACGTCATCCTCTAGGACATTCATCTGTGCTTCCAACTCTGCTTTCTGCTGCAAATCTCGATCAGTTTGCAGCACAGTCAGCAGCAGCCAGGCTCCGGTCAGCAGAAAATTGGCCACCAGGCACCAAATGCTCAAGGATAGCCACATTTCCTCCCCCTCCCAAAGGGTTTTCTGCTGTAGCGCCTGGTCTATGGTGCCTTGCAGTACAGTGAGCAGCAGCCAGATCCTGGTCAACAAGAAGTTGGTCATAGGGCAGAGCATATTCAGAAGTAGCCATATTTACTCCTTATTCCAAGGGCTTTTGGCTCCTGTTCCTCTCAGAATCCTGTCTTAGACTACACCAATTGTCATGCTCTTTTACTTGCCCATAATCCTGCTGACTGGGCCAATTGTCATGCTAGGGCTGGGTCTAGAGCTCACAGACCCCTCAAGCCCATTCACAGACTGGGTCACAAACCCTTCTCACGCCAGGCAGGGTCGCCATACCCCTCACACATCAGGCTGGGCCACCAGACCCCTCACATGCCAGGCTGGGTCACCAGACCCCTCACACGCAGGTCTATGAGCTAGGTAACTAGCAAACAGGTCTTGGAAGCTGTAGGTTGGAGAGCATGGCTGCACGTGGTGCAGACACCTGAGCAGAGACCAGCCAAGCAGTGGCATAGTGTATGCACAATAACTCCACCCCCCCACACACAATTTGCTTACAAAGAATGTGCCACATCACCCCCAACTGTACCTATGGTGAGGGGGCCTGATTAAATTATTCTATTTTCCCAAAACCTAAGTTCTTGGCTGGGGTCTCTGTAACAAAAGACAGATTAGCAGGAGAAAAGCATGCAGATTTATTTAATATAAGTTTTACATGATGTGGGAGCCTCCATTAGGAAATGAAGAACCAAAGAAATGGTTAAACCTGAGAGTTTTTATGCTAGGTTTGATAAAAAGTTGTGGAAAAGTGTGATAGAACGAAGGGTATGAGCTAAGTGTAGTAAATTGGGAAGACATTAGCAAGGCCTGTTTGTTCAGATTCCTCTCGTTATAAGATAAGGATGCTCCTTCCCTTTGGAACTAGAGATGGCACTTCTCACATGAAGGTCTTATGACCTGCTTCAGGGGAGAAGGGGTGGAGGGCAGGGGAGGTCAGAGAACTTTCTCAGATTCCTTCAGCTTAAAATATTCAATATGCCAAGGTGTTATATTTTGGGGTAGCATGTCCTGAACCCCATCAATAGAATTATCCTTGCTTTCTGAAAGTATCCAATCTAGAGGGAACACTCTCCCTTGGGCCTTCCCCCAAATTCTAACACCCTCCTACTGAGACAGCTCATGGTGTGTTTTCTCTCTTACTCAATGAGTAATGAACTCAACTTGTTCAACCACAGGGACACCTGTGGCTGAACGGAATCGATATTTTATATACATATATATATATATATATATATA